TTAGGTGAATCCTTCACAGACAAATTAATTGCATGACACGCCAGCTTTCTGCAGTGACTGTATCATGGGAAGAGCTTGCCTCAACACAGCAGAGCATCACTGAGATGCATGAAAATTCAGGTATTTTATTCCTTAAGTGAAAGTTGGTCTTTAATTTATAAGAGGTCACAGTGTCACATTCCATAATGGTTTTACAAAGTCATTAATTTTTTAATATGAAACTCAACGAGAATTTTCTGCAATCAAGCCTTTGCCGAGACGCGGGAAGACCCCACGTCCTAATTACCGATTGCACAGCTTAGCCAAAGTGCAAACTGGAAAGGTTTTACCATATATTAATTTTATCCAGGACACTCGAGTCGCTGGAGAGCTTTTTGACCCTTCAGCAGCTCTCCAAAACCGATGCCCTGCCTGCCCCGGGCACGGTGACGCCGATTCACCCGGACCGCGCACGGGATGAGCTTTGGTAAGAGCTAACCCCACACTGCTGAGCAAAACCCGCCCCGTCTGCCCCAGAGGTTCGACTGCTGTATCTCCAGGACCGCCCCAGCAACGCAAGGAGATGGGATATTGTCAAACTTGAAGACAAACCCCCGAATTTTAAAGCTGCCCATGCTTGGCCAGGCTGTTCCGTTCCATGGGTGCTGGCAGTGCCATCTGGCTCAGAGTGTGGGGCTGTATCTGTGCCCATGGGGAAGCAGGAGCCTCCTCAGACAGCAGGGCCAGGCTTTTTTATTTAATTTTAGATTTTAAAATCATTGAGGCTCCCTGACAGATAGGACAAGTGTCAATAACAACACCAAAACCTGACGGCAGCACTGTAGGAGAAGCATCCTGGCACCTCTAGAGTTTGCTGCAACCAGTAAAATCGGAGATCATAGAATTGTAGGATAGTTTGGGTTGGAAGGGACCTTTAAACGTCATCTAGTCCATCTCCCAGGATGCAGAAGGGAGCTGGGAAAGCTCAGCACAAAGCGGAGACTGCGCACAATTTCTCCAAGGCTTTTTTGTCGAGACTATCACGACAAGATTAAGATCGCTTTGTATCTCAAGCGACGGCAGCAAACCTTAAGAAGCGTTTCAACTATTAAAAAAGAAAAAAAAAAACAAAACACCAAACACAAACCTTCAACGCCACTTATGCACTTCACTCTGTCTCGAACCTCTACGTTGTAGCCCTCGAAGGACATGAAGACCCCGTCGGGGTGGTAAGGTGCTCGCTGTGTGTATACTTTGGAGTAGCTATGAGAGAATTCAAACCTGTCATAACCATCGTACTGAGCAATTTTCCCATAAACCTCAAAGTATTTCTCTACCCAGCTGAACGGCAGGAAGACCTCGTTGCCTTCCCTCCTCCCTTTAACGGTGTGCTCGTCATTGATCAGACAGTCAATCTCCTCGTACTTCAGCCCCGGGGCTTTGTTGAAGCCCCCCGCGACGGGGGGAGCCTTCTGCTGCTCCTGGGGTGATGCCTCCTCGCTCTGCTGCCGGGCCGGGTCGCTCTCGGAGGCGGCGGC